AAAAAAAAAAAAAAAGAGAGAGAGAGAGAAAGAGAGAGAAAAAGACACTCGATCTCGAAAGATTTGAAACGATTCGTAGATAAAGTAAATTTGCCTCTGGTTATGTGTTCAAGGCTCGCTTGATAGGATTTAACGCGCAAACGTGGCTGATAAGCTTCGGGAAGTAAAGAAGTCATTCTTTGCGGCGCGATAAGGACCGCCCTTGGTCGCAAAGATGGACTGTTGCAACTACGTCGAGGCTTACGCGGCAGGGAGCCACTTTTATCAACAACAACATTACTTTTGCTATGATAACATGAATACCGATTACGGTGGTTATGAACCGCCACCGATCTCCAATGCAATCGAAACGAGCGCGCGATACAACGGGACTGTAACGCCTGCGTATCCTATAGGTATTTAAATGTTTAAAAGAATTTGTGAAACAAGTATTTGTTATTCGTTTCAAATGTTAATTATAGTTACGTTTTTTTAAAATTATTTAAAAATATTTACATTTATTTAAAATTATTAATTGATATAGTATTTATAAATGATTGATTAATTTATTTTTATTTTTAAATTGAAAGAAGAAAGAATTGTCAGCATAAATGTCATTAAAATTTATAACAAAATTATGAAAATCAGTTAAAAATGAGGTAGAATTTAATTATATTGTGCATTGAATTTTAAATAGACTAATAGTGAGATTTACCGCACATGCGTGGAAGTTACGATTAGCTAAGTAATATAGAAATATTTTTAAATATTATATTATTTCCTCTTGTTGCAAGATTATTTGAAAACATTAAAATTAACTTTTAATTGCGTTCTTACTGCAACAAATTTTAATATTGTGAAAAAAATGTGCAAACTCTATAGAATTATTTAAAATTGTCCAAGAGTAATATGTAAACTAAAAATTAAATATCTAATGCTTGAGAAGATCTAATCTTATATATATATATATATATAATAAGATGTTCATTCTCAGTATTTGCATTTCTTATCTACTTTTTCGCGAAGAAAAAACACTATACAGAGTGACTCAAAAAGACAATCGATAATCCATTACTTACTCTATTTATTACTATTCATTTTGAACAAATTTTCTCTTTTAATCATGTAAACTTAAAATTGTGTTACTTTTGTGTCACTTATAGTTAAAAATCATCCTTTCTACTATTATAATATTTTACGTGTAATGATATAATGAATATATATATATTATAATTTCATTATAAAATTTAATAATCTATAAAAATTTATAAAAATTAAATTTTTAATAATTTTAAATGTTTTACCTGTTTCACAGATTACGTGTACAATCCCAAAGAAGCGAGATTGCGAAAGGCGATGCGCGAACAGAGCCGCGAATTATCCAGACGATCGATCTTGCAGAGCGCGATCGCACGTGCGAGCGTGATCGCTGGTCCAGTCACTTCCGGCGGCTTCCTAGATCATCAGCATCGTTTCGGCTGCGTTTCCTCGGCTAACATACCGATGAATTCGTCCATGGAACCGGTTCGAGTCGCGGAACCTTGGTTTCAATCGACGCCTCGTCCAAAACCGATCCATTCACCCCGAATGACCGATTGGTACGGAAACGTGGCTGATCCTATCGAAAGACTGCAAGTAATGGGTGCAATGCATCAACGTGGCCTCGATAAATGCAAAGACGTGATGAGAAATCAGGCTGTGGCCAGCGTGGCCAATACCGTGTCTGCTGAATGCGGTGCTACGTTTTCGAATAACGGATATCCGGTCGATTTCAGCGATGTTAATAGGGAAAGGGAGTTGCGTCGTCAGGAGAATATGGAGTACAATGAATTCACTGATGGTCAGAAATGGCATCCTTATCAGGTGAGTGTTTTTCTTGGAAATTATACAGGGTGTCTCTATGGAATCGTGGTGTTTTTGAAGTCGGTTAGTAATAAAATGCTTTTCTTGTAAAAAAATTAAATGAAAATAAAGAATAAAATTTTGTAAATGAAGGTTTGAAAAGATATCCTGTATTTGAAAAAAGATTAAACAGTCTTAATGTTAAAATAATGAAATTATTCGTTTATAAATGATAGCTGTAATTGAAAACTTTACAAAATTTTAATCGTATACATGGACAAAGATTTCTTTTCATCGTCAGAATTTTTTTATCAGATTATTCCATAGATAATAATTTATTTTCTTAAAAAATTTCTATAAATTGTTGATCATAGAATGGCGGGAATGCTCATCAACATCCCAGAACGTCTCATCCTCCTCAAATGAGCAACATTCTTCACCCAAACATTCAGAATCCTGGTCCACATGGACATGGGCCATGGGGTCAATTTTGCCATAACGTATTACCACGTAAGTGAAGATAAAATCCGATGAAAAATCTATGAGATCAATGAAAAATGAATTTTTATTGTTCTTTCATAGATGCTTCATCTATGCCTCGAAATATTGGAGTTCGAGGGCCGCGTCACACTGTGTTATTACGGGATCGTGTACCCGTTAGACACTGTGAATTTCCTGAAGAAACAGCGCGAATGATGTACAATCCAAGCAAACTCGATATTGAGAATGTACGAGCATCGTATACGCCTCCTGAACATCAGGTTTTCCTTTTCCTATTTTACACGATTCCAGAATATATCCACGAATAACAAGAAGAGAACAAAAAGAATCCGCCCAATAGAAAACTTATTATTATGAATAATACAATAGATAATGACTATATAAATTTTTTTTCAGATGCCAAGAATGCTAGAAACTTCAGTAAATTCTGTTATGGATTCTGCGTCCGCAATGAGGATTCGTCGTGAAGATGATGGGCCCAGATGGGAACCGAACGCTATAAATAATAGAATGTCTATGGATAACCTAGCTGCAACAACGGTACAACATTCGGTTATATTAAGCATTTATGATTCATCCTTCAAACTAAAACTTCATAAATAGAACGTAACTAATTAATTATTAAATATTATTCAATTTATAACCAGGAATCTAGCATATCATGCGAAAAGGAACGTGAATCTCGGCGATCTGTCGAAAGATTTGAGCCGAAGAAGAAAACTATCAGTAAGCAACCGTTGCCTGGTTTTCACCAAGCATTCGGTTCTACAGAGATCGGCAGGTTCTCCAGATCTGAGTTTTTCGTGAATATGGTGGGCGAGAGTGGTGCAAGCGTGGAAGTCGCCGACACGGAAAGTACTAATGTAAGTACGGATCGTATGTCAGAGATAAATGGGGTTGCAGTTACAACTGCGACGCACGATACATCCGTGGTCACCACGACCGCAACGACGACCGTGAGGTCTTTCGATGGCGACGATAGCGAGGAAGCGAGCTTCGAAGACTCGAATAACGACCTCGTCGCTTCTACGTCGATGGGCATGTATTGTGACCAGCCAAATATTCCTCGATGGCATAGTCCTCACGTAGGCGCTATAGGTAGCGAAATTTAAACGAATCTTTAAATTCTTTCGTGGGCTAAGCGTTTTCCCATTGAAAATCTTACTATAGAATTCTCAGTCAGTTATTTTCAAAAGTGTGAACTAAAACACGTTAAAACATTTTCTCATAATCTTCATTTTGGATATTCTGTTGCATTCAAAAGAACGATAAAAAAGTGATTAAAAAATTGGTATATTTTGGGATATATATATTGCACATAGGTATTTACAAATTCGATTAATTATCAATTTTAGTATTTTCAATTTTGCATGTATGATTAAATTATAAATGAAGTTGTATTTAATATGAAATTTTTTTTACGAGTCTACGAATGTTGCATTTATTTATTAAATAATTAGCCCTCGAAAGAAATTAGCGATTCGTCAGGGACGTGAATTATGTCCAATTGTTTGTAGAATTATAAATTATTTTCTTCGACGTTCAAATAATCTGATAATATTTTGTATATGGAGGAAGAATCGTTTGTTGTAATTAATAAATTTCAGCGAACTTATTTAAATCAATTTCTTAAATAATTATAATTTCTTTTATTTGTACAAATATTTTTAGGACAAATATTTTTGATTTGTCAAAGACTATAAATGACGTACGAAACATCCCGACAAACCACATGTTTTACTTACATGTTTGTCGAGATTGTGCCTTTAAGAGAATTGTGAAACTATTAACACATTCTCTGCCCCAAGTACTATTTTCGGTATACATTGAAACTTATTTTCAGGCCAAGTGATATTTTTGTCATTGATAGATAAAATATAAAAAAATTCTTAAATTAATTTTCATTATACGTATTTCCTAGTTGAATGTTTTATTAAAAAAAAGCAGAGTTAAGAAGGAAATTGATCACATATGGCCTGAAAATATATATTTATTCAAAAATGAACTGGCAGAAAACGTGTTAAAGGTTCTTCAAAATTCTTAATCGAATCAAAAAAGAAAAAATCAAAAAAGCAGCACGATATTTGCGAGTCTCGTACGTCAACTATATTAAGCTGAGCAACTTTCATTAATATATTAATATTGAAATTTTTGAGATAAAATATTTTATATGATTTAAAAAAAAACAATTTAATATAAACTTTCTTCCTTCAAAAATTTCAGTTATCTGTTTAAGATATCTTTTTATTATAAAATAGATATTATAAAATATTAATATAATTTGTAGGTTGCTTATACTTAATAAAGAAATATAATCAAAATGTGTCGATAAAAGTACTTAATCGGCATCTTCCATCAAGTTGTTAGATATCGCCGATGATACACTTAAGATTAGTGTACCGACGATGAATTATATGAATATATTAAATATATATATATATAATATATATATATATATATATATTTAAAGAATATATTGTACTTATATGTATAATGAAGGAACGAAAACGCGCGACGAAGAAATATATGAATTATTTAGTAGAATAATTAGGCGACACGTATTGCCGCGCGGAGAAACGTATAAATAAAAGTGATCATTAATATTGCGAACGTAGGAAGTCGAGAAACCGACGAATACATGCACTTCTGTTCGTGAAAAATATGTTTCTCTTAAGGGTGTGTACGGTAATTTTGCATTCAGAACTCTTTTATTTCTCGATTGCAAAAGAATTAAATATTGAACAAAAAAAAAAAAAAAAAATAAGAAGGAAGAAGAAAAGAAAATATCGCCACTTAGTATGTTATTGTTCTAAAATAAGTAAAAAAATTGGATCAATTTTATAAGTTAAGATTGTAGACAAATATAGATAAGAGTAGTTGTAACGCAAATTCGAAAAATGAGGCACATAAGATTTATTGGAATTTTTTATACATCCATTTTAATGTATATTTAATATTCCATTTACTATGGTAACTTTGGGACCTTTTGAAATTATAAAACAGAAGAAAAAAAATGTTCGCATTAACATTTCTGAGAAGTGCGATATTATATGCAATAATGCAAAATTTATTTTACTCGTTAAGTTCATAGTAAAATCTATTAGTATCTGAATTAATAGGAAAATACGATAATATTTGGATAAGAATATTTTCAAGCAGAGAAACTCTCATCTTTTATTAATCTAACTTATAAAGATTATTTTTTGTCTCATTTCGAAAATAATATAATTTCTATTTGTATTTCTTTTATAATCGAGTTCTGAATCCCGTGCAGGCACCTATAACTCATGTTGATTGATCTATCGGTACATCGACTTGACATAATTCGTGCCAGCTATCCTGTACCTATAATGGGACCAAATTAAAAGAGAAGCTTTTATTTCGCGTTCACCGTCGCGCTTACGTCCCACGTAATTTATCGCGTATGAAGAACCTTCCCTTGTTTCCGTTCGCTCGATTGCTTCGAACAAAGAGGCAAGAATGTTCATGTGAAATACCGCTTAACACACTCAATGTTATTTGATATAAAATAATAAAAAAAAAAAAATACATTTAAAGATTATATTGAATTTTTTCTAACGAGGATAATTTTAAAGAAAGAAATTTCTTCATAAATAGATATTAATCGAAGATAACAATATGTATAAAATTTTAGGATAACATAATATTAAAAACAAAATATTGTTCAAATTTCTTTTTCTATTTTCTTCTAATTTATTTAACTATAAGATATTTTTGTCATTATAATATTGTGCGTGTTAAGTGAAAATTAATATGAAAGTAAATGAATTTAATTGAAGGAATATTGCTTTTTAACAAAAGAATAGGGCAAATAGCTTGAAAATTGTGTGATCATTATTCGATCAAGTTAAGATTTATGATAAATATTAATCGAGCGTAATAGAAACATTTAACGATGATAACATTCAACTTTTTTGTTCTTGGATGTATAAAAACATCCAAGAGGCATGAAATGATGTAAATGCTGTGATTTATTTTAAAATTAATCATAGTTTATAGTGGAACACAGCGATGGAAAACGCTGAATATCGTCGCGACGTCAGGAAAGACGAGTTGTGATAAAAAAAAATTCTTTAAGAAATTTTAACGATGTGTATGTATGATTGTTTGTCTAGAACAATTGATCATTTGTTGTTTTAACTTTTGGATTATTATTGTAAGAACACTTCAACGAGGTCCAATCTTTTCAAATTTTTCACTAGTAAGGAATATAACGATAGTCAAAATCTTTTCGCTGTGCAGTGTATACTTCCATAAATTAATTTCATATTTGAAAATTTTTTGAAACTTTATCGATATAAAATATTGATATAGGTATATCAAATATTTATATTTATTAAAATATGAAAAAATTCAAATCATGAAAGAAAAAAATCCTCTCATTGTATAATATGTATAATATATCTTTATAAATTAATTTTTTATATTTTAACAGTGATAAAAGATGGACCTAATAATATATTCAAAGAATCAAATAAAGTATCTCATAAATGGATCAAAAGTTAAGACAACCAAAGAATTATATCACGCCAATCTCGTCATCTCCAAAACGTGAATCCTATGACGAAAATATTAGAGATGCGTTAATTACTTGAAAATTTTAATAATTTTGTTACTTTGATCTGTCTTGTTGGCGATGCAGACTGTAATATAGAATTACGACTTACGTCTTACGATTAAGGACGAATAAACTATAATCCGAGTTTCATTATTGGCAACGATATTAAGCGTAGAGGTAGTGATGTTCAAACCATTGAAAGAAATGTGAAAAGATAAAAAAAATAATGAAAAATAATGTGTGTGTGTGTATGTGTGTGTGAGAGAGAGAGAGAGAGAACAATGTCAAAATAATTGTGACTAAGAAAAGTTAACCCATATTATAAACTCGTAAATGACTTTCTGTCTAAATATTAGCAAACCTATTCATTCTAACCGCTAGAGGAATGTGTTAAGCGATCGAAATGTATAGAAATGAGAAACGATTATGAACCATTGTACATCTCTTAAATCCTACAAGTGCCAAGTTGGTGAGAAAAGTCCTTACAAAGGCTCGTGTTATTAAGTATCAAATTCCAACTCGAAAGAAAGAAAGAAAAAAGTATATTTCGCGGTGATTTTAACTCTATCAGTTTTTCAACATTGTAAAAGCAAGTCTAATTAAGCTCGATCTAGTCTATTTTATTATCAGATAAAGGAATAAAGTCGACATACATAATTTTAAATTGGATCAAATTCGTCAAAAAACGAATTTGTCTATTTCTTCAAAAAAGTAAGAAGTAAGAAGAAAAAATAATAATAATAAAGAAAGATAAAACTGATAGAGTTAACGCAGCAAGATGGAACTTAATGATGACGAACGTTCTTTTATTAGTACAGTTATTATGTATAATGTGAACTACAATAATACCGGTATTATTGAGCTTAAATTCACTTTTAATTCGAACACCAGCTTAAGGAGCGAAGTCCTATAATGAATTTGAACGGAGAAACAATAAAATATTTAAAACAAAGAAACGTAAGCAGTGTAATGAAAATAAACTAATGCGACAGTAAAAAAAAAAAAAAATTAAAAAAAAGACAAAACAAAAAATGATAAAAATATTGTAACGTTGTTATCTTATTTTCTTCAGTTACTTCCGAAGACTTACCTCTCCACTCCTGTCATCTTTCCTTTCTCATCGAGATCCTGTGGGATTATGGGAACTTCGGCTGCCATTCACAGAATCACGGAAAGTGGTGAAATTTTGTCGCGAATCACGCCGGAAGAATGTTGCTGGTTCGCCACTCAATCCAGATGCGGAGTATCTAGAATTTCGGACAATGTTGTGGTAAACAATCATAATTAAGTATTAAATTAATAAATTAAAATGATTCGTTCAAGTTTGAAAATTAAATATAAAAATCTAAAATCTTTCGATATCTCATAATAACCGAGATTCTATAAAAAAATTCCATGAAAAATAAGTCGAAAGTGCAAATTTGCAAATGACTTTGCTTCGTTTTTCTAGGAAAACGACGTTGAAAATTCATCAGGTCAATTTAAAATCATCCCTTTCACAGAGACACCCTATGTAAAATATTACGAATTTAATGTAAATTATACATATACTATAGAAATATTAAATATGTGTATGTTACATACATAGAAAGGAAATTAATTGATATAAAAATTTATAGAATTGTACGGCTTATTTGGATTGCTCTCATCACGCAAGAGATAAAGAATGGTACTGTCAAAGTAACACGATGAACACTCATCCGTCGAAAGTGCATCGTCAACGAGAGAATTACGAATCTTTCATGAGCGAAAGAGGTGATGGAAGTTACATAATAATCGGTACACCAAGTAATGGAAATCGAAGTAACAATGGTAGAACTGGGGATGATGATTTTGATAATGATACTCGTAAACAAACAGCTGTCAAAATGGAGAACAATGATTCTCCGAAGCATACGAGTTTCTCTTCTGGAAAGAAAGATGGAAACGTTTGATAATATCATTTCAATGGTCTTATAATGTTTTATAAAAAAATGCTAATTTTTTGTCTGGTAATTATAAGATTTTTTGAAAAGTACTACTATGTACAATTTATAGATATTACAGCCAGTGAAGAAGTCACTAAAACAATTGCGTTTAGTTCTTTATCATTTATTTATTATACTTCATGTAACAGATTAAGTAATTATAAAAGTTGTTTTTTTTTAATACTTTCTACCACTCTTTATTTTTAATACATTGAAAGTTTAATAATATGACAAATAATATGATAAATAATATATATATATATATATAAATATATATATATATTTCTTGTACATTTATCTTGAGTTGAAAAAAATACACAGTTTACAAACTACCAGAGTGGTTGCAATTTTGTTCAAAAATTTTAAGAAAAAACATCTTCTATTTAAAAAATATTGATATATCAATACTTTCTTTATTATTTAATTTTTTACTTAACAAATGTTCAAAAATATATTGATTTTAAAATCATATTAACATTTTAAAAATATAATTATTATAATTATTCTTTACCTGATGAAAAAATATATCTTGATATGAATTATCTTGGCATAAAAGAAGCAAGAAAAGAATTATTCGAATTGAATTCTATCATGTTCTCGGAAAATTTCATTCATCAAACAAAAGAAAAAGAAAAAAGATGTTTGAAGACCGTCGGTGACCGGTAAAAGGAATTGATCGCTTCCGTTTCTGTGTAAGAATCCATCGGTAGAATGCAATTTGTAAATAGTGGAACAAAGACCCTATGGGTATGCTTTATCACGGTGATCGTAATCGTGGATGTTTATTATAGATGAGCCAGCCGAAGGCGGCATTCTTCAAACGTGATGAACGAACATTGTGGATTGGACCTCCCAATCCGTCAGGTGAGCTACCTAACCGGCAGGTAATGACGGACAGTATATCCGTATCGTAAACGAGTCGTACAGTCGGTGGACATCGCGTAGAATTTTCGAGGTAAAAGTTTTTCTTTTCTTTTTATTGCCACCATTGATGCATCTGAAACTGTGGAAATTGTGGGATGCTGCATCGATGATTCTGTTGTTTTAACTGTTAATATATATGTTATATTTTTCAGTTTAAATTCAAAACAAATTCAAATCTGCAATAATTTTTGGAATTCTGAAAATTAAAAATGATCAAATTGGTACTTTTATTGATTCAATATAACAATCAATTCTGAATTTCAATGACTCCAAGACATTTGATAGTTTTAAGAATTTTACGAGTTACAAGATCAGTTTCAATAAGAAATATATGGTTCTTGAAATTCTGAAAATTAAAAATGACTACCTTTGACAATTTTACGCGTTTTATGAGTTAGAAGTGATGAAGTTGCAAATGAAATTATATATCCTTCCTTGACTTAGTTTGAGAATTATCACATGGCATCAATTTTGCTAATAACCGAAGTGCACAGGTAACTGTTGAACAAATTAAGGATCGACTATGGTATATAGTATTCGTTTAACAGAGATAACTTCTCGGTTACGTCTTCGTTGCTTCGCAGCACCGATATCGCGACTTTTCCCTCTACAAAATTACTAGGACAAATATCAGCCAGGGCTGAATGATTGCTTTACCAGCCAAAACCGCGCACGATAGCAAACAAGGAACGGTCCTGCTCAAATATCTACTCGCGATACATCGGTCAGTCGAATGTAACTTGCTGTTGATTTTTGTCATTTGACTCGAAATGGTCAGTCAGACTGACTGCTCGTCGAAATGGTTAACTGTTTCGCTTTGTAGTTTCTTCTATCTTTTTCGAGGAACGAATTATCTTCATATAATTTTATTTTCCAAAATAAAAAATTATATACCATATTCGACGTATTAATTTATTTCATCGATCTTTCAATTATTATAAAATAAAAAAAAATAATAATTACCATCATGCAGTTTATTTCTTCTTTTTTTTTTTTTCTTCCTTCTCCAAGTAAATTGAAGTCTTCAAAATCGCACAGCCTTAAATAACACATCTATCACAATCTTCTCACCCTTTTAGAGGTCTTCTTCATCACGACGACTCTTAATCGATCTATGCAACCAATGGATCTTTTCCTTTCGCTGCACTTTCATCTTAAATAAAAAAAAAAAGAAAAGAAAAAGAAGAAGAAAAAAACCATCGACTACTACTCGTCGAACGTGAACCATCGAGAACGAGCAAACAAGTGGTGTGTTCAACGATGAAGAAGGAGAGGCTGATCGAAGAATCGCAAGCTCTCCTCGGAGGTGATCGGAACGCGCGTATACCAGCGAAGACGACTGTTCGCGACTGTCGCGTGGGCGGACTGGCAAGCCTCGTGCTTTCAAAAGGATCGACCAACCGTCGTATAATCGTAAAATGGTCCCGTGCATGGATTGGCCAGGGAAACGTAGGAAAGGCGGCGACCAATGTCCTCTATCTTCGAAAAGAATCTAACCGCCAGTGAAATCGCCGTTACGAAGCATGGATCCTTGCGACCAATCGACGATTTTGCCTTCGAGGCCTCGGGGGCTCTCGAGAGTCCGCCATGCTGTGCCCGGAGCTTTCCTAATTTAGAGTTTAATTAGCACCTGAGAAACAGGAGAACCGTGCACAGGCATCGATTGGATGGTAACCATCGTGGAAACAGAGAGAAGAAAGACGTCGAACAGAGACGACGATATGTCAGCAGTCAGTCTTCGGATCGTCTTCGCCGACTAGTGTGAAATATCGCGCCCAAGTGTTACGAGCACGGCCACGCGGCCGCGGGGACCGAATAGTCTCGCCGAGGAAATAGATTTTCCGTCCTTCTTCCCGTTCTTCTTCGACACTTTGTCTCCTCTTCTGTCTTCCCTCTTTTTTTTTTTCTTTTTCCATTCTTGGGAATCGTTAATTCGATTTGAAAATCGAACTAAATTCTATAAGTTGAAAGAAGGGTCTCTTCTTCCTGTTTCCTGTTTCCATTAATTCTTCGATTTCTTCCTTTCGTCTTGTGGTCTTCTTAAGCCAGAGAGATAATATAGTGTTCATTGAGAATAATATTTGTATTTGATTGAAAAATAATACAATATAAGAGATTAGTTAATTTTTCCGTGAATTGAATTGGACGAAGGTATAAGGAAGAAATATTATCGTAGAAGTCGAAGAAAGTGTTTTTTACCTCTTCCGAGTCGCACAACTCGGGTCAGAGAGATCGAAGAACGAATTCTGGGGGATCGAAGAAAAGAGAAAATGCAACCAGCTCCGGCTACACCCGGTTCTCCAACACGGTCATCTTGTTGTGAACGAGATCGCGAGCGGGAAGTTCACGAGGATCGTGGAAGAGAGCGGAACAATACTGGAAGACAAAATCGAATGACTCCGGAGGAAGATCACGAGGAAAGAGGCAATGAAAGGACGGTGATTTCGGGACAGAATCTTGGTGTTATGACTGTTAGCGGAAATCAGGGATTACCTCTTTCATTGTCACTTGAAGACAGAGATCTATGGACTAAATTTCAATGTTTGACTAATGAAATGATTGTGACAAAGAATGGAAGGTGAGTGTGATTGAAAAAACTTGAATAAATTTAAAAAATTTTAAGGAAAACTGTGAAAAATATATATATACATGAGATTATGTAAAGGAAGTAATGATATTAACGCTTTTTTTTTTTTCTATGTAATTGCTAGTCATTGTTAAATCTGATGATTTATAAAATTCGATTTTATTTTATGACATTAAAATGACAACTGTCAGTTTGGAAAAAAACATTGATGCATTAAGTATAAACGATTTATCGATATGCACGAGTCATTTACACATTTAAAATAGTATATCACAGGTTTCACATTTAAGAAACTTGAAGGATCTGTTAGTTGAAAGCTCTGAAGTAAAGATGGCTCTTCTTCATGCATAAAAATGTATTAATTAGAGCATCAGTGCGAACAAGGCAGAAGGTAAAAATAATAGTTCATATACATTAAGGTAAAAAGAGAGGAAAAGATACCGCTCGTGGAATGGAAAAAAGAAAAGATTGCAAAATGTTACGAAAAAAATCCACGCAATGAATATTTCATGTTTGCTTCAAAAACAGGATAACATTTTTCTCTTGTATTCAATTGAATTGACTATTTGTAGTTTCTTTCACACCGATCTAAATTAACAAAGAAAACACGACCAATTACAAATATTTTTCTTTTAATCAAATTTCATATTATGCATCAAACTTGATTCTTCATTTTTTTTTTTTTTTTCTATTTGATTCTAATATAACGTTTAATGAATTTTTTTTGGATTTTATTATATCTAAAAATATTAATATTATTTTAATTATTGTGATAATTGCTACAATAATCAAATATACGTATTATATTATAATATACTTTTTCTTTACATTGAAGAAAAATGTTTCAATTCAGAAAATGAAGAAGCAAGATGAGCAAAATCTAGTCAAGGAAATACATTTAAATGTCTAAGGCCGGCAGATCAAAAGATTTGCCACAGCGTATCCTGCCCGACTACTTTTATGATTCGTATATTATTAAAAACGATTACAGTTTGTCGACCGCGTTTTTCATGCAGGAATATTAGTGTTTGTGGGCACACTAGCAGAAACCAGGGAGTTTTATGCAGGATTGTGGGCATCGTAAAATTTTATTGTCGGTGTGCCGGCTCGATTCTTCTGCTATCCGCCGCCTTCAGTGTTACTTTCATTAGTGTTTATAAAATTCTCTTCTTTTCGAGACATCTTCTTCGTTATCACTTTACAAAATATATCTTGTGGTAGCTAATACAATCGAAAATTAAATTTAGATAAAGATAAAAGAAACATGTTGATAAAATATCTACACGAAACTATGGGAAACTTATATTCATCTTTGATTTTACTTTCAGACGGATGTTTCCTGTCGTTAAAGTTGTTGCAAGAGGATTAGAGCCAAAAGCTATGTACACTCTTCTTCTTGAATTCGTTCAAGTGGATCCACACAGGTAACAAAATGTATAAAAAAAACAGAAAAAAAAAAAATTTTTAATAAACTTATTAAACTTATTAAAAATTAT